AGTGATGCTCTAGAAAAGTAAAGTTGTATCTTCATTTGATAATTAAACTCTAAGATTTGGGGCTCTATTTTACTACATTGTAGCTTATCAATGAAAAAGGACGTAGTTTCATATAACTGATAAACGACATAGTTTCGATTTTTGTATTGTCAACAAACTTTAACTGGTAAACGACATAGTTTACTTTTCTCGGTTGAAACTATATCATTGTTGAAACTGCAATTTCAATTGAATCATTCGCAAATCTTATGTTAAGAATATATCAAGAACAAAGAGATGATCAGATTTTAACAAAACAAACTATGTTAAACCATGACTAGATGCATTATTATTTATTGATCGTGTTTATTTTTATTTTGTAGCAGATTTTTTTTCTCAAATATTTCAAGATATAATATATTATTTTTTTTTACTTTTTAAAGATCAGTATTTAAATATTTCTGAAGTATTTGATAAATATAAGTCTCTTAATTATATTAAATTTTAATAGTAGAAATTTTTTGTACCTTGTTATACTAGCCACTGTATAAGTCTCTGATACTCGTTGGAGATGGTAGAGAGTAGAGATCTTGGTGTTGGAAAATTGAATGACAACGACGTTGTCTGGTTTTTCCTTCTTGTCGTCGTCAATTCTGGAGCTAAGTTGGGGCGAAAGGCTAGAATGCCACTTTCCATAAAAAAAATGATCACACGTGCCATTCAATAATCTCAATGCCACCTTTTTATTTAATCCAATTTATTCCAAAAAGAAGATATCATTAGAAAGATTCGAACTGGGGTTGTTAAGTAAGAAACACAAAATCCAACCACTACACTATCACAATAACTTTGAACAAAATGCGCTTTTCTTAATAATAAATATTGATGACTTTTAAAATCATTTTCATAACATTCTAATATTAAACCCCAAAATCTAAACCGTCTCTAAACCCAAATCCTACCTCAAAATCTAAACCCTAAGTTCACAATAGTTAACCCAAACCCTTAATCCAAACCCTATCCCAAAATCTATACCCTAATTGCACAATAGTTAACACAAATCCTAAACCCAAACCCTACCCCAAAATCTATACCATAATTTCACAATAGTTAACCCAAACCCTAAACCCAAACCATACCCCAAAATCTATACCCTAATTTCACAATAGTTAACCCAAACCCTATCCCAAATATATATCCTAATTTTACAATAGTTAATTCAAATCCAAACCCAAACCCTATCCCAAAATCTATACCCTAATTTTACAATAGTTAACCCAAATCCTACCCAATTTAATTATAAAACATAAAAAAATAATAATTGTTTTCGACAAAAAAAAGTAATTAATTTTTAAAAGAGTGGCATTCTAGATCAATTTTCAATAGAAAGTA